TTACTCACTGCTACTTTTGATATGGACCACTGCTCTGTGTTCAGGGACTCATTATACAATTTCTGTTCAAATGTTTGTGAAATTTGTTACGTTTATGTCTCAGTTATTGAATCTTTTTTAAGTTCATACAAATATATACACATAATGGGGGGGGGGCAAACTGTTTCATTACCGTGGAAGATGTGAAACCGTAGTTCATAAACGTAGTTTCACAAACGCTACTGTCACTATGATTAGATAGATAGATGGACAGACAGACAGACAGACAGACAGACAGATAGGCTAGATAGATAGATAGATAGATAGATAGATAGATAGATAGATAGATAGATAGATAGATAGATAGATAGATAGATAGATAGATAGATAGATAGATAGATAGATAGATAGATAGATACATAGATAGATACCGCGTGATTTCTGGACTGCGCTGCTCTTTTCTTCGTTTTTGTCTTTTATTTTCTGTCTCTTCTTCTCAGGAGCCTTTGAATCATCCGGACCAGTTTTTCTTTTCATCTTCTTACTGTCTCTTTCATCCTCGTCACTCATATCTGAATGCCTAACGTAGCGGAATCAGATTGGTTTGATTAGAAATGGGTTCTGTAGAGACAAGAACACTTTGCTTAGAAAATTAGCTAAGACTTAACCAAAGACTTTATAACTCAACTACATAAACAGTTTCTTGACAACAGCCGATTCCGCGTTTACGCAACACAGTGTAGTGCGCATGCTCACACCGGACAGGCTTGCCTACATAATAAGGGGCTTTCGGAACCTTTTCACACCTAGAACTTGGCGAAAGTATCGGATGTTGGCGCGTTCGCACCGCAGGAACTAGGAACTATTTTAGTTCTAGGAACTCTTTTGGAGACTAACAATAACACAACATAACATAAGCGAGTAAATGCATTTATTTCTTTATCCTTCAGAAGGAGTACACACTTATTTAGCCTATGCGGGATGTTAGTCCGTATAGTTTGTACTTTTTTTTATTTACAATTAATTCCTTCAGCCATACAGAAGCGATGCGCCGTTCTCCACGTGCATGCACAGCTATGTTATAAAAGTTTTTCTTAAAATTTAAATTTAAAATTCTATTTTAATTACATTATTTTAATATGAATATTGAAAGTTTGGTTTCTGTACCAGGAAATGTTCTAGTAATTGTTCTATTTATTTTAATTAATTTGTTTGTTTAGGCTATTGTTTGTTTGTTTATTATTATGCAGGTTTTCTTTGCATGTCGGTCAAAAATGACCGAAATAAAAAAAAATTTATTTCAGTGAAATTAATGTAGGCTACTATATTTTACTTCGCTAATGTTTTTTATTTAATATGTTGTATTTGTACGGGATTTTATGGTACAAAATTATATTTACGCTGCATTTATAATCCATTTATGCACTTTTTGATAGACCTGAAAATTTATTTCCAACTTAAACTGTCGTAAATCTTGAATGCTTTAGAGAGCACAGAGTTTGATCTCTTTTATTCGTTGATCTTACGTTTATTGTTATGAAAAATGTGCAAAAATACTATGTTAATTTTTATATAAAATAAATATTTTCAAAAACATGTTTTACTCTAAAACTGTGGGAAAATCAAAGCCATGATAAATCTAAACAAGTTGTGTTCAAAAATTGAGCCTAATATCTTTAAAAAAAAAAACAAGAAGAGCTTTCAGTAAGATTTTGTTTGGACGCACCCAAAGTTTTCACTATGAAAATCGTCTCCCATTCATTTCCAATGCGGTCATTTTAGAAAACCTGTTCAAATCATGTCTGTCTGTCTGTCTGTATGTCTATCTATATCTATCTAAGCTGTTTTTCTTCTTGCTTCTTTATTTAAAATGACATTTGTGTATCTTGTTCTAAGAGACTTCTATAAAACTATTTTTACAGCGTAGGCAGTGGATGCCTCACACTTGGAAACTTGGCAGTGCTTCTGATGTTGGCCTTTGCTGGTCTCTTCCCTTTGTTTCTGAGGGTTTAGAGTTCCATAGTCTTTGGTAAGTTTGATCAAATCTCTGTTGATGGATAACCAGGACGGGATTTGAACTGGCGTTTCCAGCATGCGAGGCGGGCGTGCTTTCAAGGACGCAGTCATAGCCCTCCCCCTTTTAGGGGTAAATAAAGTTTTTTATAACAGTGCAAGTGTTTTTAGCATATCACAAATTAAGAAATTTGTAACAAAAATGTATTCAAGAGTTTATTCAAAGATAGCTGAGACTGTTCTGACAAATTTGCAGAATGAGGAATGACAAAATGACTAAAATGCTGGCTCGACAGAACCGGAAATCTCCATTGAGGATTGACTGATGACATTGCTGGCATGGAGCATCCCTTCAGTGAAGGCACTTCACACTAGACAGAAATGTATGGCATACAATTATAAACAAGACACCAGACATCTACAGGCATGAGCCCATGGCTGTTGATGACTGTCCTCTGCTTCGCTGCCTTTTTTTGCATTACGGAATAATTACATGACTCTTTTCCTAAAAGGTACAGTGATTGGAAGAATATATCCTCTCTCAACCATTACCCATAAAGCTCAGACTCATTTTAACTCACCATATTGTACACTGACATCATTGTTACCCCAGTGTGAATGTATACATGTGATTGAATGTGGATGATTATTTTTAGCTACAGATTGTTTAGTGTTCAGCTGTCCCAGCTCCCAGGATGCCACTGTTTATTTGTAGCCTGCCCTTGTTGGTCAACTTGGCTGTTGCGTTCTCATTCATCACATCTGTAAATTTGTTATAAATCAACACATACGAATGAGCCTATTAAAATGCTGCAGCAGCAAGTGTGTCACTGTGTGTGTATTTGTGTGGGTGGCTGGTTGTAGAGATTCAGGGTTGATTACTTGTGTGAAGCAGATTATTTTGTTTCTTTCATCATTCAAAAAACAACAACATTTCATCACTGCTCCACCTCAGAGAATGGGAGCTGTTAAGAACAAAAAAGAGAAAGAAGAAAAACATGGTAATCAAAATAAATATATATAAAATCAACATTTGTAAATGAGTAGTTTTATGTTTCTCCATTTTTAAATTGATTAATAATAATAATAATTCATTACATTTATATAGCGCTTTTCTCGGCACTCAAAGCGCTTTACATAAAAGGGGGAATCTCCTCAACCACCACCAGTATGCAGCATCCACCTGGATGATGCGACGGCAGCCATATTGCGCCAGAACGCCCACCACACACCAGCTTACTGGTGGAGAGGAGACAGAGTGATGAAGCCGATTGGTGTATATATATATATATGGGGATTAATAGGAGGCCATGGTGGACAGAGGCCACTGGGCAAATTTGGCCAGGATGCCGGGGTTACACCCCTACTCTTTTGAAAGACATCCTGGGATTTTTTGTGACCACAGAGAGTCAGGGCCTCGTTATACTGTTCAAAATGCTTAATGGGATAGCAGTTCTTTCCCTCACTAAAGCAGTTATCTTCACCTCATATCTGATTGTCTTGGTTCATGGCTTAAAACTCTTTAACAGATTTTTTTTTAAATCCCTATGGGGAAAATGAATGGAAAAAAATATTTCTGGTCCTAACGCCACCGAAAAAGGGGGAGTGGTGCAGGTTTTACATAATTGTTTAGGCTAAAACACGTAAACAAGTTCACATTTTAGCACTTCAGGTTCCATCGTCCCAAAGTCAATGGGTTTTTTTAATGTGTTTTTGGTTAAAGGCTGAAATAAGGTCTGTGGTGAACACAAGCTATCAGTATGTGTCGTGTTACGTGTCTTGAAAAGGGCAGCTGCTAACAAGTGGCTAAATGGGACTACAGAGGCTGTCAGGGAGATTATGAATTCAGGGTGGTTGGGACACTTTTTTTTCCAGTGAGATAACTTGGAAAAAGTGTCCCAATCAACCTGAATTCACCCCTAAATGTCATCATGCCGAACAAGTAAACTCAGTCCACTTTTACAGCCTTGTTATGCTTATAATTTTGCTCTTATAAACTATTCTAACTCAAACTTTTTGGGGAAAGGTTTTTAGATAAAAACTGAAAGAGTTGTCGGAAGATGGTGGTGGTGACGTTGAAGTCGTGGCACCGTGGTTCGTTTATAGCCTACCTTTAGATTTTTACCTCTGGAGACTGCATTTAGGCCTACAAAGTGATGTCATACCTACACCAATCTATCCACATTATTTTTCAACACGGAAGTAAGGTGTTTTCCCTAAAAATGCGCGACTTCCGATTTATTAGCCGCTATAGGGAAATAACGAGAAAAGTATATCAAAGTGCTAACTGTAAAACTGTTTGCACTACAAACCAGCGTGTTTAATTAAGACACGACATTAAAATAATATGTTAAGAAATACCAGTTTGCAGTAGGCTATCAAGCAGCATAATGAGCTGTTTTGTACAGCTAAAAATAACAGGAAGCGAATGACACCGGAAGCCAGACTCATTAAAATTACAAATGGCCGTGCCCGCTCTTACCTGACAAATAAGGTGGATTGCATAATCAAATATTTTGTCAATTTTGGTTATGGTGACTTTAAACATGATCTTCAAAAAATCTGCACTCATTATTTTGCCACTTTAGTCAATTCGACAAAAATTTAAGTAATTTTATGGGCGCAGTCTGTGGAGGTTTGTCTAAACTGGCCGTTGGCGTCGCTATCCAAAAGTTTTTTTTTTAGACAAACTCTTCTTAAACATTTCATTTTTACATATTAAGTGCTCAGTTAAGGCAGTAAGTTTCGATGTAGGCTATGATACACATCCTCTGAAATGACTCGAACTGCATCCTGTTGCTATAGTTACCTCTTCAAGCCAACGCCAGTTGCGACTTTAGTTCGCATGGAAATATGCGCCCTGACTAATTGTCAATTAGCCTACCTTTTCTGGTCAACCAAACATTTAAAAAAAATATATGTATTTAATATACATTATTATAGTAGGCTATGACATAATTATGCATATTAAAATCCCCTATTTATAAACCTCCACACTCTGCTTTAACGGTGGTGGTCTGGACTGAATCCACAACTCGTTACGCTAATCGCTGCTCAGATTGGCTCTGAACAACTGACTGAGACTGGAGGCTCCGGGCGCCGGTGATGCGACGCAGACCGCCGCTGATGTCTGTGTGCCGTGATGTGTGTGGCGTCTGAGCAACAGCCCGGAGTGTGTGTGAGTCACTGTGATCCGAGGTGACAATCCAGATAACTGTGGGGCTTACAATGCACCGACGACCAAACATGCAATAGAATTGAATGGGAGCTTCTGGGAAATTCACAGGGATTCTTCTGTGACATATAGCCTATCGTGCGATGGAAGTTAAAAAAGGGATTTTACATTGCATTCGATTCTTAAGTCCTCAGTGACATTTTATAAGTGGAATGGATTGGCTATATTTTCGGGAACGTGTACGAGAATACCTGTTCGCGCCAACTTTGTTTTTTTCTCTTGAAGAGTGGCTCAATGTAGAAACTTTAATGTGGCATTACACCGGTCCCTAAGAATGGCGATGATGAAGGCGAACTTGAGCTGTCTGGATAGTTTATCCCGGGGAAACAACAGCCTCCCCGCCAGGAACACGTCTCCCGGGGTAGCGGCCACCCTCGCCGGCGTGCTGATCTTCACTACCGTGGCTGATATCCTTGGAAATCTACTGGTCATCCTGTCCGTGTACAGGAACAAGAAACTGAGGAATGCAGGTGTGAAGACCTCTGTAATGTCAGGCAAATATCAAACATTATATGATAAGCTTGTATCAGATACTTCTCTTTTTTTATTTTGCTGAGTTTGTATTTGTAATTGTGTAGGCTATAGCATGCATAAATACACTTATGTAAGTTAAAGCAGGATGGGTTTTTGTGTTGGCTGAAGTTGTTCCTAGCTGCTGTTGTCAGTTTGGCATGAATCATATCTTTTTCAGTTGATAGAGGTTGTTAATTGCAATATTGGAAACAGGATTGGTCATAGTAGGCTATGGCATTATATCAAAACATAGTTAACATGATTTTCTTCGTGTGCCCTGTTTTGATGCACCTTTTCCCCAGACTTACATAAGAGGCACCAGCAAAACATGGCTGACTTTTTGTGTTGTGCAACAAAACAAAATAGGATATAAGATGTTAAATGACATAATAATGTCACGTTTTTGATGTGTAAAGAAGTGTCAGGAAAATGTAACCCAAGGCACGATCAATTCAACAGAAGAACGTCAGCAAACAACTCATTTTACAGGTCTTCATTTTGTACTGCAGGCTGTGCGTTGAAGAAACAATACGTGAGACTTTTATAGGGCTGCAGGAATTAAAAGTGCACAGTCTTACAACCACTCACACATACAGCGGTGTCCAAAAGTCGAGAAACCTCTAGTGAAAATAATTTTTCTAATTTAATAGATTTTTTTATTTTTATTGCAAATGATATGTTCAGCATTATACTAACAATAGGAGTGAAACGTTTAAATGAAAGGTGCAATGAATTTGAAAAAGCTAATGATCCATGTTAACCAGCATGATTTGAAAATACTCCAGAGAGCATTTGTGCTTCACTGGTGGAAAATCTGACTTTTTGAAGTTCACATGGTTAGTGGTTGGTGTCCCAAATTTGATTACTTGACTTAAAGTCAATTTGTTGTTCTCACACTTTCTTATCTCTTTGTACATCTGTTAAAGGACCTGTTGCTAAGTTGCTACATTATCTGATTTCTTTCTTTCTTTGCTTGTAATCTTATACAGGTGAGAGCGAGAGAACATAGCTCTGCCTGTGAGGGGTATATGTCTATCAATTTCACTGCTAGTTATTTAACATGATTGCAGCACATGGCTGTTGTTAATGACCATAATCTCAGCAGGGCAGACAGAAACAGAAGACATCTTCTGTGATCCATTCCATCAGAGCTGAAGTGCTGTCATCAGATCAGACCACAGTGTGGTGTTAACACATGTTTAAAGAGCTCTGGCAGTTGAGAATTTATCATGATTTGAAAACAGTGGTTAGTTATCCATGTTGGGTTTCACAAAATGGGAATTATGAGATGCACCACGTCAATCATAATGAGAAAAGCATGCAGTGTGGATGGTGTTGTTCTCCTTGCATATTCCTGACTGTTTAGACAGCATGTCGCAATCTCACTGCCTCAGATCATGCAGCTTTTTCCCAGCCTGCCCTGAGCTGCTTGAGTAGAAGTGAAACACTGCATGTTTGCATACAGAATGGAAATCCAGCATAGCTGGATGGACGAACACAAGACGATTCGCTCCAAACACATGCACATTGCACACACTTACACGCATGATCAGTGTTCAGTCCATCTCAATGTTCAGGATGTGTCAGTGAGGCTGTTCTAGGGAGAATTTAGTTCTGGAAAACTCCGTAATATCAGAATCATGTGAGACGACGGGAATGCTGTGGAAAAGAGAGGCACGCAACCTGCCAGTGCAATTTTAGCACTTTCTCTTTTTTTTATTTCTATTTATGGCCTTTTAATGCCTTTAGGCACAGGACAAATGGAGAGAGACAGGAAACCATGGGGACAGAGACAGTGATGAAGACATTACACTGGCTCTTTTATGTGTTGTTGGCTTTTTGTGCTGCTCATGCCACTACTAAGGCATGATGTTTGTGTTTGTTGATGAAGAGGTTGTTGGTGGTGGAATTTATTCTCAATAAGCATTTTAAATAATGGTGGATGGGCAGTTGTGCTCATGTAATTCTATTTTAAGTAGGCTACTTGTTAATAGTATGCTGTAGTTTAGAATGATAATTAAATGCACTGAAAAAAAGCAGTTAATTTAACCATAAAATGATGGTAATAGGCAAAAAATAAAATACTATTAGTATTAAATGCATTTTGATCCAAACATTTTTTTAAATGGCATGCATAGATGTCTGTATTTTGATAAAATGGCCAAAATGTTGACTACATGAGCTCAGCAGAAGACGTCAAACAGTACGGATCTCTTGTGTTCAGTGCAAAGTGGCCACAGACAGATAATAATTTTGTTGCAAATTCATCATGTATCAATGTGACATATGCACTGCGAAAAAAATACAATTCATTTAAAATGAATCATGGTAATTGGCACAAATTACCACATAGAATTAAAGGTGGGGGTGGGGTTTGGGGGGTTAGTGCGCGTACACATGAAGGGGGGTGTGGAGGAGAGAGAAGCATGAAGAGGGAAGTTAGAATTATATTCTCTGTTTCAGACTCTTGTTTGTGGGAAACATGTAAAGTAGTGTTAAGAGGTCATATTATTGCATATGAATCCTCGTCGAGGAGGGAGAAGCGTAAGCGCCTGGCTGAGATAGAATCCACACTTCCATCTTTAGAGCAAACATTTCGTTCATCTAAAGCTCAGAGTGACCTTAACGCTATTCTTAAGTTGAAATATGAATATAACTCTATTTTGAGCGATCATGTCTCTAATTTGTTAATTAAACTTAAACAGAAACAGTTTGAATTGGGAGATAAGGCAGATAAGCTTCTTGCCAGGCAACTAAGAGGTGTGCAGGCTAGTAGGGCCATTCATCAAATAAAATCTCAGAATGGTACTTTAGTAACACATCCTAAAGAAATGAATAATCGTTTTGTTGAATTTTCTAAGCAGCTTTACTCTTCCAGCTGTTCTGAGCTGAACACTACAGGGCGCCAATTTCTTGATGCGGTGGATTTTCCAAAACTTAATGAATGTGCCAGAGAGGAATTAGAGGAACTGTTTACTCTCTGTGAAATTTTGGAGGCAATTAATTCCTTTTCCAATGGGAAAGCCATTATGAGCCATGTGGAGTTATAAGGCCAATGCAAATGCAATTGCTCCTTTGTTACTTAGAATGATAAATCATTCGATTGAGAAGGAAATATTTCCGACTCTTTTTATGAGGCACATATATGTCTTTTGAAGAAAAAAGACAGAGATGTTACGGAGCCTTCTAGTCACAGGCCAATAAGTCTTCTCAATTGCGATCAAAAAATAATTGCCAAGATTCTGGCCACTCGTCTGAATAAGTAAGCATGCATGTGGCCTCGTTAATTCACCCAGACCAAACTGGCTTTATCCCAGGAAGATTTTCATTTTTTAATTCGCGTCCCCTGCTAAATATTTTGTACAGTAATCAGAGTAAGAGATCTAAGGCAGCTGTTCTTTCTTTAGACGCTGAAAAGGCCTTCGATCGAATAGAATGGATATATATGTTTTCTGTGCTGGATCGGTTTGGCTTTGGTGAGAATTACAAACGTATCATAAAAATGCTTTATTTTTCCCCTAAATCTGCAATACTTACTAATTCGGATAGGTCTGCTTTCTTTCCTCTTCAGCGTGGTACACGTCAGGGCTGTTGTCTAAACCCATTGTTGTTTGATCTAGCTTCAGAACCCCTGGCCATTCATCTTCGTAATCATTCTGAGATCAGGGGTATATCATGTGGTCATTCTGAGGTTAAACTGTCCTTATATGCAGACGACTTGCTTCTATATTTGAGTGATCCCTCTTCTGCTTTGCCATTTTTAATGGAATCACTTGAGGTGTTTGGCTCTTTTTCTGGTTATTCTGTTAATTGGGAGAAGAGTGTATTCATGCCCTTGGGTGGAGGGTTGGATGCTCAGTTTCAGAGGTCATTACCTTTTAGAATAACAGAGGATCATTTCACTTACTTAGGGTTAACTATTCCTAAAAAATGTAAACAAATCTTCAGTCTAAATTTTATAGAAGCCATGAATAAGTTAAAAATATATATTGATAAATGAAGGGTACTCCCGTTATCTTTAATTGGTCGGGTCAATGCTATTAAAATGGTCTCTCTGCCTCGCTTTGTTTATCTTTTTCAGAACCTGCCTATATATTTGCCACATTCTTTTTTTAAACAATTAGATTCTGTCATTTTTCCATTTATTTGGGGTTATAAAGCGCATAGAATTTCTAAGGCCCATTTGCAGAATCCGAAAGAGCTGGGTGGTCTAGCGCTACCTGTTTTCCGTCATTATTATTGGGCTGTTAATGCCAGGGCTATGATGTTCTGGCGGATTAGTGATCAAGCTGGGGAGAACTTGATGGACACCCAACCCAAGTGGCTGTACATGGAGGCTCGGTCAGTTGTTGGTAGCTCTCTTGCCGCTATTCTTTTTTCGAACCCTGTATCTTTAAAGAAGTTACAATGTAAAAATTCTGTTGTGCTCAATTCCATTAGAATTTTAAATCAATTGAAGACTGTTTTTCTAATATTACACGTCCTTCAGTGCTCCAGTCCATTTGTGATAATCATAATTTTTTGCCTGGCCAGTCAGATGTGTAGAAGCAAAGGACTGTCCATGATTAAGGACTTCTGTATAGATGGAAAATTTGCCACTTTCGAGCACTTGTATAAAACATTTGATCTTTCCCAATCACAATTTTTCCGATATCTACAGGTGCGCCATTTCATTAAACATTTTTGTAATGAGTTTCAGGGGTTGCCTCAGGATCATAATATGTATTGTCTTTTGGGTCAACCCCCTAATGCCAAACAGTTGGTGACACGGTTTGTTTCCTTGTTTGTATCTCATTTTCCAGTTTCTTCAGATCACATCAAAGTAGCATGGGAAAATGCCATGGGAATTAATATCTCAAATGAGATTTGGGAAGAAGGACTGAAGCGAATTCATAACTGTTCTATTAATGCGAGATTACAACTTATTCAGTTTAAAGTGTTGCATAGATTACACTAT